AATAAATACAATCTGAATTGTACACATAAAGATGAAAATTTTCACATTCCACGTTTGGAACAAAGTAAACAAGAATTGATTTTTTTAACCGATATTCTAAAAAACATGCTTAGATACAAAGTATGGTAGAGTGAGAAATGAATTAGGTTTGATTTGGGATTAAATTAAATGGGTTGAAAATTTTATAATTAATATTTAATTAAATATGAAAAACCTCATATTTGAAAAGTTAAACCTGTAACCTGATTTGTGAAATTGGAAATCTAATTCCAGATGTAGATGTAATTTCCTCTTTTTTTTTTTTTCTTATTTTAATTTTGGGCCTCTTGTTTTTAAAATAAAATCTGGCCCAATTATCAAATTATTCAAATCCATTACCAATTAGTCATTTACCCATCGGCCACAGAATACCAATTAATCGACTATTTCAATTTCCAAATCAATTCATTTTGCCAACCTGGTTCTCCCTCCTCGTCGCCCTGCTGCCCTTTGTCCCTTTCCCTGTGATTGTTGCTGCTGCCCGCGAGCCCCAACGACGATCTCTCCGTCGTCTCTATTTTTGGCCCCAACAAATGGGAAGAAAAGGTGTTTTTCTTCTTTTTATAACCATTGAGCTTTACTAGTTAAATACATTTAAATTGAAATCCTTGGTAATGGTTTTCATCCTTGAAACACGGGAAGCAAAATACTCAAGTTTCTCGATTTTATGTGGAATCCACTTTCCGATTTCATCATTGTCGTCTCTCAGTTGTAATTTCTACCGCCTCTCTATTTTTTTTATTTAATTTGTTTTTGGTATGTTGTGACTTATGAGTTATTATGACCGTGAGAAAAGAAAATAGAAGAATAGTGTATGAATAAATGATAATGTGTAGAAGAATCAAGAAATACATTAAGTGACTACGTGAGAATGTGGTCTATCTTTGGTGAGGTAATAAAGTAGAAGAGTAAGACCTCTAGAAGGGGAAAGACATAATGAAGTTAAATAAGAAGGGAAAATAGAGAGAATGCAGTTGTCTTAGTTGACTTTCATGTGTATTTTTGAATAGATTGAAGAATTTTTAATATTATTTAATTAAATATTAATAAATGATCTCGTTATTACGAATGTTGATTATCAACAATCAACGTCCAACCTAGCTGACCTAAAATCCTAGATTCGCCACTGGGCAACATAGCACAGTTGTTCTACCTATACACCTTCTAATTTTGTCATATTTAAAAAATTTAAACTATTTGATAGAATGCAACTAGTAATTCACTTTTTAGATAACGTTCAGTTTTGTGTTATTGATCAAGCTATCAAGGATGAACACAGTGCGGTCTATATGATTCCAATGATATTAGACCGAAATAAATACAATTTGAATTTTACACATAAAGATGAAAATTTTCACATTCCACGTTTGGAACAAAGTAAACAAGAATTGATTTTTTTAATCGATATTCTAAAAAACATGCTTAGATACAAAGTATTTTCGAAGCGTAACGTCTAGAGCCTAAGCCTAGGCACACGAAAAGGTGGGCCAAGATACAGGATCTTTTTTTTTTTTTCACATTTTTTAGTTTAAAAGTTGAACCTCGAGTCTTAATTTTTTATTTATTTATTTTTTTCAGTTTGAAAGTTGAACCTTAACTCTTAGGTTAAGGCTTTCCTAACTACTCAAATGGAAAGATAGCAGTATCTATCATTTTAGATGTTTAGTGTGTATTATTTAATAGTTTTGGAATAATAAAAAATATTTAAAAAATTATGTCCAGACTTGTAAAGTTTGGAATTTAATATTGTCGTTTAACCACTATTTATGCTTTTCAGAATATTGATTTTATGCTTAAGAAAGAATTAAAATGTGCAAATTGACGTAAAAAAAATTCTTTCACTTCTACACTTTTTGTTTCACGTAGCAAAAGTATTATGTTAGATAGAAATTAATTTATTTTAATTAATTCAATAGTTAGTCTAATCGAGCCATTATCAGAAAATGACATTTGATTTGAAGTAGAACTGTCCGCTTCTGGATTTCAAATTCCAAAATAGATTAATTTTAACTCTTAAGTGAACCTAATTGATTGCTTTGATTTGATAAAAACAAAAAGGTCATAGTTCTTCTAGACACGCTTCTATTGTCTAGACACGCTTTTATTAACTTTATACGGCAATTTTTTTAAAAATGAATCCATTGGCAGTTTTTTGCAACTTTATCGACC